ATGGATGGGTGGATGGATGGGTGGATGATGGGTGGATGAATGGATGGTGGATGATGGGTGGATGGATGGGTGGATGGATGAATGGATGGATGGATAATGGTGGGTGGATGGATGATGATGATGATGATGATGGATGGTTGGACAGGTGGATGGGTGGATAGGTGGATAGATGGGTAGGTATAGGTGGGTGGACAGGCAAAGCTTGCCCAGCCTGGGGTGGCCCCGAGGTCCTCCCGGTACCCATGTTGGGAGGCTGGCACCTTAGTGGAGGTCTGCAAATGGAGGGTTCCCATCCCGTGTTGGGGTGTAGATATATTTGGTGGTTCTGGGGCTCGCACTCAAGGCCTCACACATACGTGGCTGGTGCTTTACCACCTGGGCCATGCCTCTAGCCTCGCTTTTTGCTGGTTGTTTTGGAGATGGCATCTCAGAGACTTTTCTTCCTAGGATGGCTATGGACTTCAATGCTCTGGATTGCAGCCTCCAGAGCAGCTGGGATTACAGGTGGGAGCCACCAGTGCCTAGCTCGGGGTCTGTTCTTAACAATGGCACAGAGACACCCGTCAAGTGGACAGCGTGGCGACTTCCAGATCCTTCTCTCACGTGACGCCTGGCTCTGGGTCTCCGGGGTACCACTGTGGCACAGGCAGGGCGGGAAGGGGGACCCTGGCTGGGTCGGGAGGTGTCCTCATCTGCTCTGGCTGCCCAGCTCCTGGTCTTCATGCATGCCTTGTCTGCAGCCACGGCCCCAGCCCCGTGCCAGCCCCCGTGACCGCCCACAGCGGGTCCTCTCCCCGCCCCCCATCCTCCCTCCCCACCCCTCCCCTCTGCTCTCCTGGGACCATTTCTGGTCAGTGCCAGAGCCTTCTTTTTAGTGCTGTGATCGAGTTGAGGGCCTTGTGTCCCCAGCCCTTCTGCTTTTCGTTTTCATAGGTCATATCTGGCTTTTGCCTTGGCCCCCAAAAATCAATCCTCCCGTCCCTGACTCCCCAAGAAGCTGGAATTGCAGGCATGGGTCACCATGCCCAGCCTGTGTTTGAGACAAGATAACCATTTCCCCAGGCTGCACTCCATGCTCCCTCCTCCTCTGTCCGCCTCGTGGCCAGCTGGGACGGCAGGCCACCACACCTCTACCTCCGCTCCGAAGCGACCAGCTGACCCTTTCCTGTGGCGGCAGCTCCTGCCCCACGGCCAGTGCTTGGGGAAGACACGGAGGATCCCTCTCGAGCACCGGGGTCCAAACTCATCCCTGGGCCGCTGGGCCGGAGCTAGAGAGCCAGACGCCATCCCCCAAGTCTTGTGCCTGCTGACCTGCAGCCTGGCGCCCCGCTCCTGCTGTCCATCACTTGTGCTGGGCACCTGGGCCAGCCCGGAACCCGGCAGTCCCCCCTTCCCCAGCCCAGCAAAGTCACCGCCAAGAGCCACTTGGGGGACCCTCCCAGAATCAGGGCTCTGTGCCCTCTAGAGGGCGTGGTGGCCGCTGGCACCGCCTGGACCCCACTGGACAGGAAGTGCAGGATGAGGCCCACCCACCATGACCTCCCGTCCCCAGCCCAGGGCCGGGCAGCCAGCCCCGCCCTGCCAGGCCAGCCTCATCAGAAAAGCTGGGCCAGCACCGCGCTCCCGACTGGACCGTGCCAGGTCACGGGTCACACTGGACTTCAAGGTCAGCTGGACGGTGGTAACCGGGGCCATGGGGCTGCGGAGCAGAGCCTGCGTTAGGCCCGGGCTCATCCCTATGGCAAAGGGAGGGGGGGAGGGAGGGAGAACTGGAAAGCTGCACTGCCCCCTGGGGGACACCGGGCACTTGCGGAACCAGGCGTAGCTGTCAGATCTGTAGCTGTGTATCTGTATCTGTCATCTGCTACCTATGTAACTATGTAACTATGTATCATTACCCATCATCTCTCTCCCTCTCTCAGTCTCCCTCTCCAGCCCCACCCCCTTCCTAATCTAATCGGAGTCTGGCTGCCCCTACCCTGTGATCCTCTTGCCTGAGTGCTGGGATTACAAGCGTGCCTCACCAAGCCCAGCCAGCGTACTTTTTTGTTTTGGTTGGTTGTGGGGCCTGAACTCTGGCCCTGGGCGCTGTCCCTCAGCTCTTCAGCTCAAGGCCAGTGCTCTACACTTGAGCCACAGTGCCACTTCTGACGTTTTCTGCTTACGGGGTGCTGAGGAATCGAACCCGAGGCCTCATGCATGCAAGGCAAGCGCTCTACCACTGAGCCACCTTCCCAGCCCCAAGTGCACTTTGTTTATCAGAGAGGAGGAGCGTTGCAGCGAGTCCGCTCCTAGACCAATGCCTAGAAGCACCGAGCACACATCCGAGCTAGCAGTCCTCCGCACAAGTCCACACACCACGTCCAAAAGGCAGCCGCAAGCAGGCCCCCCAGCCCGCCCGCCGATGAAAACCACGGGATGCCACACACAGAGCCAACCACGATGCTCTGGCCCTCGGAGGAAGACAGTCCAGGGCTGCGGGGGACACGCACGGCGGTGGCACGTGGACTGTTCTCTGTCCACGCAGGTGACAGAGGCCCGAGCCGCCTGAGCCACAGCTGGGGGTGGAGGTGAGCATGGAAACTCCTGGGGACAGGGCTTGTTGTGGGGTGACAGCGTGGCAGGCCGGCCGGTCACCGCGGGGCGCACTGCAGCCCTGCGCCTCTCATGCGCCGGCCTTCCCCGTCCACCGCCAGCCAGGGCCGGAGCCGCGCAGGAGCGGGGCTCAGCCAGCCGGGAGCCGCCGCTGCGGGGCGGGTACAAGATGTCCCACCAGACTCCCCACTCCCGGCCAGTCCACCTCCACCGGATCCTCCACGGGCGATCGGCACACACGGCTCCGACCCTGCTTTTGGTGGGGTCCTGGGGTAGGGGCAGAGCCTGGGAGTGTGAGCGCCCGGGGGGCATGTTCTGGAAAGATACACCTGTTCCCGCCCCCTCCCGTCTCTCTGGGCCTGCCAGTCACCGCCAGGTGAGCAGCGTCCACCCCACGCCTCTGCCTCGACCTTCCGACCCTCCCCAGACCCCAAGCGACGGAGCCTGCACGTCCCCAGGTCACAGACCCAAACCCTCCCGTCCTCCCTCGCGCCACTTCCCTCTGAGCTCCTCACAGCCGGGAAGAACTCTGGGGACTCCACTGTGTCTTGAGGACCGCGTGGTCCCCCACCCCCCAGCCTGGGGAGCAGCCTGGGGCAGCGGGGCAGCCCCAGACCCAGGGCCGGCCGGTCAGCAGTGCCCGTCACGTGCCCCCCTTCCCCGCCTCCTCCTGCGTCACACGCACACTCCCCAGGCCCCATATCTGGGGGGGTTGTGTCCTGGGGGGGGGCACGGCCCAGGGACTGTGGCTTGGGAGACAGGAAAGCGTCACATCCGGGGACAGGTGGGAGGGAGAAGCTGAGGTAGCACGCAGACCGTGGTGCGTGTCAGGCTGTGGCACACGAGCTCTGCAAAAGTCCTTGCAGGCCTCCTCCAGCGGGCCTCCTCCAGCAGGCCTCCTCCCTCAGACCTCCTCCAGTGGGCCTCCTCCAGCAGGCTTCCTGCCACAGGCCTCCAATGGGTCTCTTCCCTTAGGCCTCCTCCCTCAGGCCTCCACTGGCAGGCACACCCGAGTCAGAGGGAGAAGGGACACAGAGACCCTGGATGTTCCTGCCCAGGCACTGCAGATGTGGTTCCCGTGGGATTCTGCGCATGGCTTTCCACGCAGACCCACAGCCTTGTGCCCCAGCCCTGGCCGGCAGGGGGCCTCCAACAGGGCTGCCTGAGCAGACACACAGGAGCGCACATGGGGCTCACAGAAGGGACAGAAGCCCAGAGCCAGGGTTTGCTACGTTCTCCCCCGCAGGATGCGCCCCCTCCAGGCCAACTCCGGGTGCGCACCCTGGCACAGCCAGCTCCTGGCAGCCACAGCTCGCGGCCGGAGCTTCGGGGAGAGGCTGTCTTACCTGGCGGTGTCGAAGCTGTCATAGGAGCCCACTGTGTAATGCCTGAAGAGCTTCTTGCTGCGGTCTGCGCGGGTTTCTGTGCAGAGGAAGAGAAAGAGACACTTGAGAAGTCAAGCCCTTGCACACCGCACGCAAGCACACACACACACACACAGGGTGCCCGCTCTCAGTGATCTGCCCTCTGCAGGGAGACTCACTCTCCCGGGGAAACCAAGCCCCGGTCTTGGATCTGAGCACAAAAAGTGGGGGCGCGCCTCAGAGCCTCCCTGGAGGGGTCAGAGGGCTCTGCAAAGCGCAGGTGGGGGGATTGCAGGCTGGGCGCAGGACCGGCAGGGGTCACTCTGCAAAGCGGGGGTCTTGTACGCTCCCGCCGCCATAGCTGGCCCGCACACGGCCTCCACTAGACCAGCACTGAACCTCCTTGCCAGGCTGCCCGTGCTGCCCAGGCTCCCATGCCAGGCTGAGAACCTGCAGGAGACCGAACTAGGGGAAAAGATACCTATCTTCCTGGTGATTTTCCTGATTATAGTTGCTTTCTTCTAAAACAATCCAATGAAACAACACCCACAAAATAAACCCCATTAACGCTCCTCGCTCCTTGTTAAGCCTTCTGCCTGCTTCCTCTGTGCAGCAGATTGATATGCAAATTTCACAGAAAATGATAGGAGGCGTAATTAGATTTGGTGGCTGGCTCAGGGTGGGGGGATGGGCGACACAAACACAGGAGACACAGCACACAGTTGTACTCTTTAGGTATTTTCCTCCCACATGAGGTTTCCCGGCCCATCATCTTCCTATATCCTGCTGCAAATCTGGAGAAATTAAGCAACTAGCTTTGGGAAAATAACTCTAAATGGAATTTGTCTGGTGAGGGGTCAGTCTCTTCTGCCCAGTACTCCAAGGTCAATGCACGATCATTTTTGTTCAACACAAACCGGCATTGGTACTTCAAAAGTTTGCTCCAGAAGTGCACCGGGCAGGATGGGGCATCCTTGATGCCTACAGACGGCAGGCCGGCGTTCACCCTTTCTACAGAACAGAGTTCCCGAGCGTGGAAAGGGGGGGGGGGGGCGCAGCCATGAGCCTGGAACTACATTTCCCAGCAGCCTTTGCAACTGGACGCAACCATGTGATACGTTCCCACCAATGGGATATGAGTGCCACTTCCAAACCCAGGCTCTTAGGCATGCTGTGTTTTATCCCCTCCTCCTTTTCCTGCTTAAGGCTCAGGACTCCTCGTCCCAAAGTTAAGGTGTTCACAGGCACCCACAGGGTCCTTGCACTACACCGTGCACAGGAATCATGCACGGTGCATTTTATGAGCAAGAATGAAGCAAGGAGCACAGGCGGCCACACTTGTGGACTCTGTGATAGCTGTGGACCTGGTCTTCCCCACAGGCAGGGCAAAGGGGTCCTGAGACGCCGTTCCCACCGGCCGCTCCCCAGCAACGCGGCGCCAAGACGCCGTACCCACCGGCCGCTCCCCGGCAATGCGGCCCCAAGACGCCATACCCACCGGCCGCTCCCCGGCAATGCGGCCCAAGGCCCTGGGCAAAAGCCTTGCCATGCCACAACGGAAACAAGTTTTAAGAAACACGGGACATCCTACAGTAAGTAGACTGCTGAAGACTGCTGTCATTTTCTTACACTGTTATATAAAGAAGAGCCTTCGGATAAAATCATCAGGCTGCAGGACTAAACCAGTTAATAATACAGACAAAATTGATAATACCACATAGGTAATAATATAGATGATAATAATATCTTTCTTCTGCTTAGACCCACCACCTCTGTCCTGCCTCTGTTTGGGCCTTTCTCTGTTCCCTCCAGCTAAGGACAGCCACTCCGGGCAGGGCGCTGCATGGATTTTCTGCACACCTCTTCCCCCAGAAACTGGGCACCCACATGTGGCTCGGCCTGGGACAGGCATCAGGCCGGTCTCTGGGGCCCCACCCTTCCCACGGCCCCCACACCGGACGCGCTGGCTATCTCCCGTGGTCATCTGTAGCCCTGCAGCTGAGCGCGGTGAGCGCGGCCTCCTCTGGTGCCTGCCATAGCGAATGGACGCGGGTGATGGACAGGGACCCTGTGCGGACGGCAGGGAGAGCACGGGCCTGCAGCCCAGCAGCCTTGGCGGGAGAGAGCCGGGGAGCAGGGCAGGGCCTTGCAGGCCGCCGCCCGGTGACCCCGAGGGCCCTCCTCAGCTCCCCTGGCTTTCATCTGCCGGAACACGGTCACCGGCAGTTGGTCACCGGCAGTTCTCGCTCTCCCTAGCGGGCGATGTTTCTGCTCTGGGCCCGAGGGACCAGGCCATCCTGGGTGGAGCTGTCCCTGCGGGCTGGGTCCCTGGGAAGGACACAGGTGGCCAGAATGAGAACCACCGTGGTTGTTTGTTGTTCCATGCCACACAGACTGCGCGTGCGCGTCTCTGCAGCCTGCCCAGCGCGGGCCGCCCAGTCCTCTCCGCACATGGCCCTCTCGGCGTGGCCCTCCCCGCCACGCTCACGCCACCCCGGGCTCCATGCGGCCCCGCAGAGCTGCCTCACAGGTGGGAGAAAAAACCGGGCAGAACCAGGGCAAAGATGGGCTTGGGCCCTGAGAAGATGCCTGTCCTTGAAGCCCTACTAGAGGACAGGAACGAGTCCGCGATGCACAGACGGAGCCTGGCCCGGCACCCACGCACCCTGCCTGCCGCCGGAAGGAAGCGCCTTCCAGGGTCAAAGGAGGAGGTGAGGAAACCGGCCCCGAGTGGGCGAGTCACTCCCTGCTTCGGGAGCCACAGAGGAGCCGCGCAGAGCCAGGTCCAAGCTCCTGCCCAGGCCCGCGTCACCACGCCAAGCCAATGCGCCCGGCAGCAGGCGCTCAGCCGTGAGGGCAGACCAGAGCGCCAGGAGCGGCGTCAGCCGCCAGACCACCGGCAGTGGCCTCCTCTCCCCACTCCCCACCCCTCTCCTCATCAATGGATTTGGTTTCCACCATTAACAGAGCACACTCCAAGCAGCTGAGAGTCCTCGGGGCTCTGCCCCCCCTCTCCCCCACGCCACTCCCTGCCGAGTAACCTTTGCTTCCTGACTGCCGTGAGTTGATTTTACCACAGGGCCTTTGTACTTGCTATGCTCTTTCCCTGTTTACACGTCCCTATGCAGCCGACTCCCCGTGGCTCCTGTGCGGCAGCCTGGCTGTTGTGGGGCAGAGGACAGGGGGGATCAACATCTCGAGAATAAGTTCACTGCATTTCCCTAGGCTGATGGCCAGTGTGCATACTGCCCAGTACCCAGGAGCACACTGCACAGTACCCAGGAGCACCCTGAACAGTACCCAGGAGCACCCTGAACAGTACCCGGGAGTACACTGCACAGTATTCAGAATACACTGCACAGTACCCGGGAGCACCCTGCACAGTACCCAGGAGCACCCTGCACAGTACCAGGGAGCACCCTGAACAGTACCCGGGAGCACCCTGAACAGTACCCGGGAGCACCCTGAACAGTACCCAGGAGCACCCTGAACAGTACCCGGGAGCACCCTGCACAGTACCCGGGAGCACCTGAGCAGTACCCGGGAGCACCCTGCACAGTACCCGGGAGCACCCTGAACAGTACCCAGGAGCACCTGAACAGTACCCGGGAGCACCCTGAACAGTACCCGGGAGCACCCTGAACAGTACCCGGGAGCACCCTGAACAGTACCCGGGAGCACCCAGGAGCACCCTGAACAGTACCCGGGAGCACCCTGAACAGTACCCAGGAGCACCCTGAACAGTACCCGGGAGCACACAGTACCCGGGAGCACCCTGAACAGTACCCAGGAGCACCTGAACAGTACCCAGGAGCACCCTGAACAGTACCCGGGAGCACCCTGAACAGTACCCGGGAGCACACTGCACAGTACCTGGGAGCACGCTGCACAGTACCTGGGAGCACACTGCACAGTACCCGGGAGCACACTGCACAGTACCCGGGAGCACCTGAGCAGTACCCGGGAGCACCCTGAACAGTACCCGGGAGCACCTGAGCAGTACCCGGGAGCACCCTGAACAGTACCCGGGAGCACCCTGAACAGTACCCGGGAGCACCAGAACAGTACCTGGGAGCACCCTGAACAGTACCCAGGAGCACACTGCACAGTACCCGGGAGTACACTGCACAGTACCCAGGAGCACCCTGAGCAGTACCCGGGAGCACCCTGAACAGTACCCGGGAGCACCCTGAACAGTACCTGGGAGCACCCTGAACAGTACCTGGGAGCACACTGCACGGTACCCGGAAGCACACTGCACAGTACCCGGGAGCACACTGCACAGTACCCAGGAGCACCCTGAGCAGTACCCGGGAGCACACTGCACAGTACCCAGGAGCACATTGCACAGTACCCAGGAGCACCCTGCACAGTACCCAGGAGCACCCTGAGCAGTACCCGGGAGCACCCTGAGCAGTACCCGGGAGCACCCTGAGCAGTACCCGGAAGCACACTGCACAGTACCCGGGAGCACACTGCACAGTACCCGGGAGCACACTGCACAGTACCCAGGAGCACATTGCACAGTACCCAGGAGCACCTTGCACAGTACTCGGGAGCACCCTGAGCAGTACCCGGGAGCACCCTGAGCAGTACCCGGGAGCACCCTGAACAGTACCCGGGAGCACATTGCACAGTATCCAGGAGCACCCTGAACAGTACCCAGGAGCACCTGAGCAGTACCCAGGAGCACACTGCACAGTACCCAGGAGCACATTGCACAGTACCCAGATGCACACAGTGCACACTGCACAGTACCTGGAACACACTGCACAGTACCCAGGAGCACCCTGAACAGTACCCGGGAACACACTGCACAGTACCCAGGTGCACACAGTGCACACTTCCCAGTACCCAGGAACACATTGTCCAGCACCCTGGAGCACAGTGCCCAGTACCCAGGAGCACACTGCCTAGTACCAGTGTGCACACTGCACAGCATGCTCAACTAACACCCCCAGGACTACTGCAGCAGTCTGCTGCAAGCTGAGGTACTGAGTTTCAGTCCTGGCTGGGGCGGTGCTCAGGTGAGACCATCCCATGGTACCCCGTGTCCAC